TGTGATAATTTTCTTGAGCAGGAATCTTTCTTTCCGCTTACAGCATGAAAGTATGGCAACTGGCCATTATTTTCGACCATGGAAGTGTCATGCTTTAAGTTTACCAATCTCTGGCACTCTGTGGTTACTTCCTGTAGTGTTATATTCGGACATTGTTCAATTTTACTTAGAATTCTGGTTCTAATATCAGCATCTTCTGGAGATTACAGGCTGCACACAAACACGAGACACTTAAACTGACCTTCTGTCATTGCTGATAGTTTGAAGCGCTCACATTCACGGTTTACTAACTCCGCATGCTTCACCCAGTCATCATCACCTGCTTTTGTTATCTTGAGACATTGATAACGAATATTAAACAAGGACGACTGTTCAGCAAAGATTTGCGACAAAATTTCAATCGTTATACAATAAACAGGGCACACAGGTTCACAAGTTATAACACAGCTGCTTGTATATCTTTCGAAGTAACATCTGGGTCCATCCCGTTTTCAGAACTACCTAAGTGTGACCTCAGTTGTTCCTAGAACCTACTTTTAGTTTACTCGTTACTCGGTTAAATTCTGATGGGTCTTTTTAGTGTAGCTTTTCTGGGTCCAGTGAGGCGCAAGCAGATGCGTGCCCGTATTAGAGCATAGTCGGAGTCCAGGAAGGTACTCCAGAATGAGCGACAATCTTCTATCAACCCTCTCCAACGATGACTGATGGCAATATGGTCTATTTGAGTTCATCGTTGGCTTGGTGCAGGGGGTCGTCGTGCTAGACGATGTCTCTTATTAGAAGCCTCATATACAAACACTGCAGGCAGAGTGAAGGCATACGACCACCTGGGTAGCTGAATAAGTGCTGGTGGTGGCGTGAGAGATGAGATCGATTCACGTATAGTGAAAGCCAGGGCAGCTTATGCCAATCTGGGCCATCTTTGGCGCCTTCATGATGTCCGTCTGACTGTAAAAGGTCGGATCTACAACGCGTCGGTGAAAGCAGTTTTGCTCTATGCTTGTGAAACCTGGCCTCTTCGAGTTGAGGATGTTAGACGGCTCTCTGTGTTTAATCATCATTGTCTCCCAAGGATTGCTGCCATCCAATGGCAACACCATGTTAGTAATGCAGAGGTTCGGCATCGTGTGTTCGGGCACAGAGACGATAATTCAATTGGTGTCACTATCTTGAGACATCGACTTCAGTGGCTTGGACATGTTCTACGAATGTCATCCCAGATAATTCCACGTCGTTCATTATTTGTCGACTCTGGAACTAGTTGGAAAAAGCGGAGAGGTGGTCAGTGTATGACATGGTGTCGTGGTATGAAAGAACTCTGCAAAGGGCTGGCTTGTGTTGGTCCTTCACGACTCCCTGGTCAGGGTCTCAGAGATGGTGTAACAGTGGCTAGAGACGTTATCAGATATGGCCCAGAATAGAAGCCAGTGACGATCCTGCTGTAACCTTTTATTCTCTTCATAAAAAGTGGTTGCTTCTTCCGTAACTGAAAGATCTGTTCTGATTGTACTTTTTCGTTTCCCCCATTATTATTATTACTCTACCTTACCTTATTCTGTTCGTTAGTTTTTTTTTAATTTTATTTTTTTAACGCTCCTCACATTTTTTCCTTCTGCTCTTCAAATTCCCGTTGCTCTGTGTGGCGCATGTATATTTGGTGCCCTCTTGTACCAAGATTTATGTGTTCAAATAAATAAATAAATGGTCCCAGAATATACGAGCGATGTTTCGAAGACATCTATGATCGAATACTAGTAACCTACGAATATCTTCTACTCTTACCGGCCATGTTTCACTGCCATAAAGTAGGACGGAACGAACTGCTGCACATTAAACACGTCCTTTGGTAGATAGATGAATATCTCGCCTACGTTATAAATGACGCAATTTGGTAAAAGCTATTCCAGCCTTCTGTATCCGTGCTGAGATTTCGTCACACACCAGACCACAAGGGCTGATGAGACTTCCAAGATAAGTGAAGCGATCGACACGCTCAATCACTTCACTCCCTATCATTAGTTCGAGTGTCAATGCAACCTAATCCTGAAGCAGCATTTTGCATTTCGAGGGGGAGAATCTCATCCCGAACATGCTTGCATTGTTGCTTAGAGTGGTGAAAAGACTGCATTTTGTCAGCGTGTTCACCAAATAGAACTATGTCATCGGCATATTCCAAGTCAACAAGTGAATCACCTAGTAGAAGTTCGACCCCTGGAAATTTAGATGAGGAAAGTGTTATCTCTAAAAGTACGTTAATGACAAAGTTGAACAAGAATGGAGAGAGTGGACAGCCCTGACGAACACCACTTGAGGTAATCGATTCTGATGACAGTTCACCATAAGCTTTCACTTGACCAGTTGTGTTCGAGTAGAGAGCCGGAATAAGGTTAATGTACTTCTTTGGTACTCCTTTCAGTGACAAACGCTGCCACAGAACCTTACGATCAACAGAGTCGAATGCCGCCTTAAGGTCGAGAAATACTACCATTGTGGGGCGTCTAAACGTGTGTCTGTGTTCTAGAATTTGACGTAGTTTGAATATCTGGTTTATACAACCACGTCCAGGTCGTAAACCAGCCTGGTTTACTCTATTTTGCTCTTCACGAGCTTTAATTAGGCATCGAAGTATTATTGAAGCTAATATTTTAGACACTATATTAGTTAAACTGATTCCTCTGTGATTGTCACAAGAGGACTTTTGTCCTTCCTTAGAGACTAGCATAATCAATGATTGAGACCAGTCAGATTGGATTACGTCCAGTTCCTAGATTCTACCTAAGACCTCAGTCAATCTCACTGCTAATACTGGACCGCTATCCTTAAGAATCTCAGGGGTAAGCCTGTCAGGGCCTGCTGCTCTCCCACGCTTCAGATTTCCTATAGCTTTTTCAATTTCGTAAAGAGTTGGAGGACTTGCATAAACTTGCTATTCAGGTCGATTGGAGATTGTTGGAAACCAAAGGCCAGTCGAACTGATCACTAGAGTGTTCTGCCCATCGGTCCAATCTCCTGGATTGAGAATGAATCATTCCACGGTACCTCGGGGTGGGCATCACCTACATGGCTTCCTAACTTTTTCTAGTTGTTCCTGAAATATACTCTTAGTTTGACTATCATTAAGTAGACCTCCTACGTCCAGTCGGACGTAGACAAATACGCACTCGTCCTAGAACATGATCTGAATCTAAGCATATGCTCCAGAATGAGCTAGTCTTCTATCGAACCCCTCCATCGGTGGCTGATAGCGATGTGATCTATACGGGTCCAACGCTGGGACGAATTCGGGGGTCGCCATGTCAAAAGATGATTTTCCTTATGCTTAAAGTTAGTATTTGCAAGAAACAGGTTATCTAAGCTTAGCTGCAACAGACGGTCGCCATTATCTGTTCTTTGAGCCACGACACCATAAGATCCACCCAGGTGTCTTTCCCTATCGCTTAGTTTACCTACTTGAGCATTAGTCACCAGCCACTATAACTACATCAGAGTGCCTAGCTTTTCGGATAAGGTCGGAAAGCTTTCTATAAAACTCATCTTTTACATCATCTGAGCTGCATTCAGTTGGAGAGTAGACAGAGACGACGAAGAGTGTCCCTATCTTTCCGAGTCCTTACTGTTCCGTTTAGTCGGACGGCGTACAAACGACTGTCTATTGGTATCCAGTCTAAGAGAGCTAGTTCTGCCCTAGGACTCAATGCTATACCTACGCCAGCGAGGCCACGGGACGCAGCATCAGGGCTTCCAGATACACGAATTGTGGATCGAGTTGGTTCTGTATTTTGATATGGTGAGGTCAAATGAATGACGCTACTTGGATCCTGTATGCGCGTTTCAAAGACGCACGGCCTTTTTGTGGAAGGTTTTTAAGGTGCTAGCTCCATTCTTCAAAAGGCCTAACCTCCGGAGACAGAAATCTGTGAGGTAAGGTGAGGTGTGACATTTTTAGGGTCGACCTTTATTAACCACTTCTTTGCTTGTGAGAAGGCAGCATCGCTGTAGATGTTGATTGTCCGTGTGAAATACCTTACTGCTGTTACACCCCTCTACAGTCAGCAGTACGACTTCGCCCTCAGACCTTGAGTCGCTGCTTTTGGTCTTACAGTTCTCCAATCGACCTGCCTGGCATGGTAGAACATACAGGAACATGTATTCCAACCAATATAGCTCGGTTGGGTCATCACGATAGGCGCACCCGACCACCACGTAAAGGTACCAGTCGGGTAGTAGTATTATTCAAAAGCCAGAACACCTGTTGTAGAGATAGTTTATTGTTAATCATTAGTAAAAACCCGTAAGCGCTCAGATTGAAAGCACATAGAGAAACCAGTGAGTTTGTGTGTGTGTGTTAAAATATCCGTACATATTTATGTGGTAATTGATTGTGGATAAATTATTGATTATATGTGTTACAACCGATGGGAGAATAGATGAATATTGACGTACAGACATGTGCTCAATCAGACTCACACATAATTTTACATAGTCGGTTAAATGTCTGGATTTCAGTGAGTAAATAAATAAAGTGGTTGAATGGGCTTACTACAATCCCGTTTTTGGTCTAGTGTGCACATGAATTAATGTCCACTTTCTCACATTCTCTATAACTTAAATAGTATAAATCTAATAGTGAATATGCTAAAATTCTACTATACTATTACTAATTAAGATTATCATTGCTAAAACGTTTCATCCTAGCCATTTTTTCGGAAGAAATGGTCACTTTCACTATGTTGTCTCACATACATCAATGAATTCGGCTTCAATTTATGTCAATACACATGGATGTTTATTGTTCGTAAACACTAAGTATATCTACAACCAATACTTTTGATACCCAGTTTTGTGTTATAGGATAGCTGGCTCGTGTTGCAATTTGCTTGTGTTCGTTGTACTTAGTAGATGTTGGTTCAAATTCTATTTTGATAATGTTCAGTCAGTTCGTTGGTCTCAGTTACTATACGTTCATATGATCCTTCACTCCTTTTTTGTCTATCGTTTTTAGCTGATGGACGGTAACGTCCCTATCGAAGGTTCAGATACTCTCAGTGATCCCCGTGTATGGCTTGATTACCTAGCAGCACTGTTTCGTACTTTCAATTGCCTTTTACGACGTTTGGGAAATCCAAGTTCTAGTCAGTGGGACACAAGGGAACGCAACGCTGTTGATCGTACTACGTCCGAGTTGGTGCTTTCTGCTCAGAATTGTTTAGCTGAATGCTTGCAGTTAGTAAGAGAAGTAATATGGCCAGTTGTTACCCGTGTACTCACACATTATGCCTCGCGCATGCGTCCAATGGAGCATGTTTGTCGTCTCATACGTTTCATTGTGCGTTGTTTTTCTGTGCACTTACGAGATCTTCTCCCCGAGCTTGCTGAAAAAGTAAGCTCAATTACTGATGATAAATTTATTCTGTCATGTTATTGCTACTATAACATTTGACAACTAAATGGATCAAAATGTAAAATTAATTTCACATTAAGGTAAAATTTTGTTGGATATCGTTTATTTATTTAAACACACGTTGGTAGATGGGAGCACCAAATATTTATGCGCCACACTAGAGGGATAGCGAATATAAAGTATGCATAGTCAATTGAAGAAGAACAACAACCAACAGAAATTAGTGTATGAGAGTGAAATAATAATAGTAATAGATGGGAGAAACGGTTCGGTTAGTAAAACTACAACCGGAAGGAATACTTTAAGTTAAAGCAGAAAATAAGAGAGAGTTACAGCAGGATCGTCACTGGCTTCTATTCTGGGCCATATCTGATAACGTCTCTAGCCACTGTTACACCATCTCTGAGACCCTGACCAGGGAGTCGTGAAGGACCAACACAAGCCAGCCCTTTGCAGAGTTCTTTCATACCACGACACCATGTCATACACTGACCACCTCTCCGCTTTTTCCAACCAGTTCCAGAGTCGACAAATAATGAACGACGTGGAATTATCTGGGATGACATTCGTAGAACATGTCCAAGCCACTGAAGTCGATGTCTCAAGATAGTGACACCAATTGAATTATCGTCTCTGTGCCCGAACACACGATGCCGAACCTCTGCATTACTAACATGGTGTTGCCATTGGATGGCAGCAATCCTTGGGAGACAATGATGATTAAACACAGAGAGCCGTCTAACATCCTCAACTCGAAGAGGCCAGGTTTCACAAGCATAGAGCAAAACTGCTTTCACCGACGCGTTGTAGATCCGACCTTTTACAGTCAGACGGACATCATGAAGGCGCCAAAGATGGCCCGGATTGGCATAAGCTGCCCTGGCTTTCACTATACGTGAATCGATCTCATCTCTCACGCCACCACCAGCACTTATTCAGCTACCCAGGTGGTCGTATGCCTTCACTCTGCCTGCAGTGTTTGTATATGAGGCTTCTAATAAGAGACATCGTCTAGCACGACGACCCCCTGCACCAAGCCAACGATGAACTCAAATAGACCATATTGCCATCAGTCATCGTTGGAGAGGGTTGATAGAAGATTGTCGCTCATTCTGGAGTACCTTCCTGGACTCCGACTATGCTCTAATACGGGCACGCATCTGCTTGCGCCTCACTGGACCCAGAAAAGCTACACTAAAAAGACCCATCAGAATTTAACCGAGTAACGAGTAAACTAAAAGTAGGTTCTAGGAACAACTGAGGTCACACTTAGGTAGTTCTGAAAACGGGATGGACCCAGATGTTACTTCGAAAGATATACAAGCAGCTGTGTTATAACTTGTGAACCTGTGTGCCCTGTTTATTGTATAACGATTGAAATTTTGTCGCAAATCTTTGCTGAACAGTCGTCCTTGTTTAATATTCGTTATCAATGTCTCAAGATAACAAAAGCAGGTGATGATGACTGGGTGAAGCATGCGGAGTTAGTAAACCGTGAATGTGAGCGCTTCAAACTATCAGCAATGACAGAAGGTCAGTTTAAGTGTCTCGTGTTTGTGTGCAGCCTGTAATCTCCAGAAGATGCTGATATTAGAACCAGAATTCTAAGTAAAATTGAACAATGTCCGAATATAACACTACAGGAAGTAACCACAGAGTGCCAGAGATTGGTAAACTTAAAGCATGACACTTCCATGGTCGAAAATAATGGCCAGTTGCCATACTTTCATGCTGTAAGCGGAAAGAAAGATTCCTGCTCAAGAAATTATCACACACAGACAATCAGCCCTCATCTCCATGTTGGTCATGTGGAGGTTGGCATTATAAGAGGTTCTGTCCATATAGAGAACATTGTTGTAGCAAATGTCATTGGAAGGGCCATAAAGAAAACCGCTTCAGAAAAAGAAACCATAAACGACATTCTTCGAGACCATACTTCAAGAAATACAGATATACTGCTCTAACCAACAAAATATTGGTATCACATAGTCGTGCAAAAATTTACCGCCAACGAAAGTATGTAAACCTAGATATAAATAAAAAGCGCGCCAGCCTGCAGCTCGACACTGCTTCCGACATCACACTTATTAGTCGAAGAACCTGGAATCTTATAGGAAAACCACAGGTGCTCCCAACCACCCAGTTAGTTCATAGTGCATCTGGAGGGAAATTAAATATTGTTGGAGAGGTTTGTTGTACAGTTTCAAATGGAAACGCGAAGACGGATGCAGCTTTATATCTCACAGAGAACCCAAGACTAGGTTTGCTGGGTCTAGACCTGATAGAAACACTACAATTAGCAAATCACTCCATTAACCACACATGCAGCGCCATGAGAACCAATAAACCAGTGGAAAAGGATCTGAAGGGTGTTGTGTTGGAAAGACATAGTCAAGTGTTTACGGAAGAGCTGGGGGAGTGCAAAAAGGTAAAAGTACTACTGATTCTTAAACCGGGAGTCACCCCCGTCTTCAGACCAAAACGTCCGGTACCCTATGCAACGCTTCCTATTGTTGAACAAGAATTAGAGCGTCTGCAAAGAAGTGGAATAATAGAACCAGCAAACTTTTCTGATTGGGCAGCACCAATAGTGATTGTCGAAAAGCCAAATGGAAATATCCGGCTGTGCGCAGATTATTCGACTGGATTAAACGAAGCACTTGAAGCCCATCAATACCCTTTGCCGGTACCAGAGGATTTATTTGCGAAACTGAATGGGGGTAAGTATTTTGAAAAATTAGACCTATCAGAAGCTTATCTACAGATTCCAGTAGCGGAAGAGTGTAAGCATTACTTGACAATAAACACTCATAAACGGTTGTTCTGATATAACAGACTTCCATTTAGAGTAAAGACCACCCCTTCAATCTTCCAACAAGCTATGGATACTATGTTACAAGATATTCCTGGTACGCAGCCTATCTCGATGACATACTGATCATGAGTACAGACTATGTTGATTTAGAGAATAAGGTGGACATGGTTCTCAGACGCATAGCAGATTATGGGTTCAGATTACGTGCTGAAAGTGTGATTTTTACATGGATCAAGTCCGCTATTTGAGATTCATAATCGATAAAAACGGAAGAAAACCTGATCCTGAAAACGTCGACTCTATCAAGTCCATGCCTCCACCGGCGAATGTATCAACTTTACGCTCTTTCTTGGGAATGGTTAGTCATTATGGCGTTTTACTTCCAAATCTGCATCGCCTTCGTGCTCCTCTTAATTGCTTATTGAAAAAGGATACCAAATGGTTCTGGTCAACCGAATGCCAAGAAGCATTCCTAAAACTAAAGCAGCTCATATCATCAAACATTCTACCTACACACTATGATCCAGATCTTCCAAATATAGTCGCAGCAGATGCGTCAAACTACGTGTTAGCGGAACATAGACTGGATTAATGCATGCTCAATGCATAATTGCTTTGGTGCACGCTGATTAGCTAATACTTATCCAATCAACACTAGTCGATAGTTGGAGAATACTCTAGAATCTTCTCATGTAAAAACTATAAATATACTGACGTTTTCTCTATTGTGCTTCCTACTGGCTTCTTACTGGCATCTTACTTCCATCTAACCTTGTTATTTGGAATATAATCTCTTTCCTGTTCAACCGTGTTCTGATTTGGGGACTTGTCGAGTGAATCGGTGTCCGAGAATACTAAGCAATAGGAATAGTTGGGTCATAACCGTAAGAAGAGATTATAACACTACGGAATCGGAGCATAATTTCACATACCTACCCTGTCGGGTCCGAGAAGGTGATCGCCCACGCTGCAAGATAGCCGACTATGACTGAAAGGAACTACAGTCAGATAGAGAAAGAAGCCCTTTCCATTATATTTGCTGTAAAAAAGTTCCACAAGATGCTGTTTGGCAGACAGATCACCTTACTAACAGACCATAAACCGCTACTGATAGTTTTTGGATCCAAAAAAGGTATCCCTGTATATACAGCAAACCGTCTACAGCGATGGGCAACTACACTGTTGGGCTATGATCTCAAGATAAAGTATCAACCGACAACGGATTTCGGACAGGTAGATGCCCTCTCAAGATTGATTGGTTCGCATGCAAAACAAGAGGAGGTGCTTGTAGCTGCCATATATGTTAAGGTTGACGTCCACAAAGTTTTGGCAGACGCAGTTTCCGGACTCCCGGTCACATTCGAGGCTGACTCAGATGTTGCTTCGAAAGATATACAAGCAGCTGTGGAAACAGCAGTGACATCTATTAGTGATTTAAACCACATGGTTACAAAGAACCAATGGATTTCTTCAAGGTCTATTGCACTGATGGATTCTCGTGAACTCATCCCATCAGACTCTGAACACGATGAAGAGCGAAAACAAATCAGATCTAGATTAAGTAAAAGTATAAGGAACGACCGTGAGCAGTGGTGGGCAACGAAAGCAAAAGAGATGGAAAAGGCGGTGGCTACAGGGAACACAAGATAGCTCTACAGACTAATAAAAGAAACTGGAATTAATAAGTCAAGTGTAAGTGAGAACATCTCGGAAAAAACGACTCTCATCTGCTCCCAGTCCAGACGTTTAGAACGGTGGGCGGGACATTTTAGAGAACAGTTCAGCTGGCCTTCAGCTACTCTACAACTACCCTCCATTCTCAAACAATGTGAATGGAACATTGAAGTAGGTCCCCCAACTCTAGCTGAAGTTCAAGAGGCTATGGTTAATCTGAAACGAGGAAGGGCAGCTGGTCCAGATGGATTAGCTTCAGAGGTCTTTACGGATGGTGATCCAATTTTAGCAATTAGGTTGACTAACATTTTAGCTAAAATCTGGTAGTTGGGCGTTATTCCATCTGACTGGTCACAGTCACTTATCGTCCCAATATATAAGAGAGGGTCAACATCATCCTGTGACAACCATAGAGGGGTTAGTTTATCTAATCTAGCATCTGATCAACCCTAATTGGTTGATGTTTGACGAAAGCTCTGCACGGATTCAGAAAGCTCGTTTGGCTTTTGCCAACTTATATCACCTATGGTGAAGGCGAGATATCCATCTATCAGTAAAAATATGAGTATACTGCTCGGCAGTTCGCTCTTTTCTACTTTACGGCTGCGAAATATTCCCATTAAGATTTGAAGATACTCATAGGCTACAAGTGTTTGACCACAGATGCCTTAGAAATATTACCTACATCTGCTGGGATGACCGGGTAAGTAATAGTGAGTTTAGACGCCGGGTATTAGGGAATTATGGTAAGTTGGTTGATGAGGTTGTGAATATTCATCGACTGAGACTTGTGGCCACGTGTTGCGTATTCCTGAACACCGATTACCACGACGCACAATGCTAACCAATGTTGGGGATGTTTGGAAGAAAGATAGGGGCGGTCAAACCAAAACGTGGCATCAGTGCTTGAAACCACTAACTTCTGTTACAATTGATTGATCACTGGGTGGTGATCAATGTCTTGCTTGTCTAGTCCTTATTAGTGCAGATCGAGTGCTATCGATCATGTTGCAATGTGGCCACCAGTCTAGGTGACTCGACACTGCGTCTCTGACTGTGAAGCTGGGTGACACGAGATCGAATCCGCCAGGGAGCACCAGTTCCCTCAAGATTACAGGTACACCTTGCTGACGAGTGCCAAGTAGCACGAAACCCGGGTCCAGGGTTTCCTGTTGACTACCTCCAACCACCATCTAAACCACTAACTTCTGTTCTGAGCTATGTTGGTAGATACAGTCTACTTGGTTGGGGTCCACGTGACTATCGTAACCAATGGTTGGAGACTGGGTGACATGGCTCTGAATCGATCACAATGGCGTAAGTGTATACACTCTCTGTCTTCCTTTAATCTAAGAGATTAAAATAGCTTCATATCTTTCTTTCTAAGTACAAAACTTTCTACCAGTACCATATCCTTATATGCAATTTTTCTTTTATATATTACCACTACTTTATGAATTCGGTTTTCATCTTGTTGAGCTAATGAGATATGGCAACTTGGACCGATGCATATATGTGCCTCGTCCTACGTTGCAGCTGACCGACTAACTGACCTCTTTTCATTTGCGTTAAGTATGTCAAGCTAGGGCTTCACTTGTGACACCGTTTGATGATTTCTGCAACATATGTCCTATCCACCTACAGAATATTTTCCTAATTTCCCACCTCAACTGGCAACTTGTTTGTTCTCTGCCATATTCAATTATCGGTGACGATCTCCGAACAAAGTACATGGAATATCTTGCTTAGAAAGTTGCTTATGAAAATCTGTAATTTTTCGATTGTGGTTGTGGTAGTCCCCCACATTCAGGTCCAGTACAATCGAACCATTCTAACATTGTGACTTTAGTCTTGGGTTGCAGTTGCTTGGAGTCCAATATCTTTGAAGACGGGAGTGGGCAATGTGTCTGCCATCAGTTTTCACTTGGAATTCATCTGTGAGGTGCCTCCATACATGACTTTGTAATAAAGTCCGTCATAGGAGCTCCGTATGATGGCGATGATGTTTTCGGGCACTCTATAGTTTCAAGGAAGATTCCACAAGTCTTTCCAGTTTGAACTGTAGCATGCTATTTCACAATTATGGTAGTTGTTGTATGGCGATAAATTTCATTTGGCTGATTGCTCAGCAACGATGTCCTGTACCGCGATTTGGTCGGTACATGATATATACTCATGAAATCCGATTTGTTGATTTGAGAGTATGGTGTCTACTGAAACTTTCGTTTGGTCCAGTAACACTCTGTTGACAACTTTGCTTGGAACTGACAGTAGTATGATGTCACTTACTACGATCTTTTTTCTTCAATGTTTTGATAGGGTATCTCTCTTGAACTTGTCCTCCCGTTCAGAGCTTTCTGAAGAGAATATGTTGCAGTTGCCTCTATACCTGACTTCAGTGCTTCCACCGCTATGCTTTCTGGTCCCTCTACTTTGACATTCTTGATTTGTCTGATCGCATTGATGTTTTTTATTTCTGGCACAGTAACATTTGTACGGAGGCCTTTGTGTGTTGGGTTGAACGGGACTGATCTATTCAGGAACTCTTCAGAGTGCTCTACTAGTCTGATCTGCTTCTCTCTAACCTCAGTGACTGACTTTTCTTGTTTGTTCGTAACTGGTTGCTCTGGTCTACTATATATCCTCACTAGCTTCTTGGTTGTATCATATGGTTGCTTGACATGTCCCTTCCTTCCAGTTTGTTTTGTTGTAGTTGCTAGGTCTTTTACATATTTCAACTTGGTGCTTTTCTTCACTCGCTTGTTTGCTTCTGTACATTTGGTCTGTGTCTTGATTGTCTCCGGTCTTGTTCGGTTGTTGCCTTCTTGACCTACATTTCCTGAATCTTCTCCAAACTGTGTACAGAGATCCGTTGTTTATCCTGGTGCTTCTTGAGATCTTGGATGTTGAGGTTACTATTTCTTTTATTCTCTTCCACTTTTTCTGCTTCGTGGTTTCCTCTGGTAAATCCACATGTATGTCTTATAGTATGTTTACTTCGTTCAGCTAGCTATTTGTCTGCTTCCAAATCAGATTATTTTCTGATTTTTCAACCTTTAGTTCAATTATCATAGCCCTGATTACCATATATTATTAGAGATCTAAGGTAAACTTCAACTTTCCATATATTTTATATAAATTAGGCTAATCAAACCCACTTCATATACTGTAGTACGATTTGTAAGATACAAAATTAAATCATGAATGCTTCTCTGCACATGTAAGTAAGAATCATTTCACTTTATTAATACAAGTTAAATTAGAAACATGATCAATATAATACCAGTTCACGGTCTAAAAGTTGTATTATTTGTATGGGCTGGTTAAACACTACTCGTCATGATCATATTGTTAGCAGCTGTATCTAGCATGACATTTTGAGGCTTCATTCAAAAATTGAAAAAATGGTTTGTTTTCACGCTTTACTTGATCTTTGGGTAGATTACCATGTTAACATACTACGTAAGATTAGATTTTCGTCTGTGATGAATCTTTTCAATAATTGTTCGAATCCATTTTTGAATCCTGTTAAAATGTCGACTTTAATATACTGTAAAAACTAGGTTTGTTTTTCTGGTTTAATTTCATTCTTTTATGTATCAAAGCAATGTTGTTTCGAACAGTTTTTCTCAAATTTCAGATTGTACTGTCTTACACAACTGGAGGACAACATTCAAGTTTTCTGTATTTAACAAGCGTGCTAGTTGATGAATTCGGAGAACAATTAGATTGCAGAGTTGGTTTGGTTAACGTGTATGAGGTAATTTTTAAATTTAAAAAATCTACATAATTTTCATTGGCAACTTCAATATCGGAACAAACGATCAAAATAAGGTGTCGTAAAATAGTTCATTAGATAAATGACCATTGTAAAAAAAAATTAATACAAGCATAATAGTGTTTAGCAATAAATTACAAATATCTAAATTTTTCTTATCCAATTTCAGTACAACTAAATCCACCGATTAGTTTGTATGAATTTTAGTTTTGTATCCCAGCTATAAGTTCGAGTTTCAAGCCCTTGTAGTAACATCCATTTATGCTAAAAAAATTATTACACTTAACAATTGCTCATTTTCACCAAACCAAAGTAATAAATTATTTCCTAATTCAAAAATAATCACCACAATACATGTTCTGAATATTGCATACCTACTGCATTATGCGAAGATTTGTAAATATTTTCCAGATGTAGAACTTCGGTTGTAAAAGTTGACTTGGACGTATTACTGATGTTATCCTGTCTTCGTCATATGTAATACCGATGTTGGAAATTTCTTGATTTCAGCACATTTTAGACCTAAATTTTTCAAGTAGCTAATTAATTCCACGGTCATGTATAACTAAAATGTATTTTGTTAAAACCCTGTTAAGCAGGGATGAATATTGACTAGCAATGTGGTCCGGTAGGTTCGTTGTATCCTATTTGTGACTTGTCAGAATTGATTTTTATTCCTGGACTCGGACGCAGTACCGTTCGCTTCGAATGCTTTCGCATTATCTACTTAGCTACTGATTCCAGTCCATCTCTACTTATAATGCTCGTGACGTAATGGCAACATTGAGGCAATCCACATAGGACGCACATATGCCAAAAGAAACTGATCGATTTTGGTCATAAACATCAATGAGCAGATTCAAACAACCAATACAAATGAATTAAAACCCTTTGTCTAACATTTACCATTTTTATTGTGTTATTTTAGAAACATATTTCCTTAATTTTGTCGTACCCTATTTCATATAGCTGCGTTATTATTACTGAGTTAATCATCTAGATTATACGAGTCTTTATCAGAGTAAAATGAGTTGTTTGTCGAAATATATTTTCTTACCCTTCGAATAAGATTCGCCAGGTACTAGGGGATTTAGTTTGAGTTAGATCCTCAAAAATTCGTTTACTTTCTAGTTATTTCAAAGGTATTTAGTATGTTTATTTTGCGAAACGTTATTGAAATATGGCTTGTTTGTTTATTTGATTTGATTTTCTTCATCTATTTAGTTAATCAAGATGAATTACTCTGGTCATTATTCTTACTCTTGAAAGTATTTTCAAACAAATTTGTTTATGAATTTCTTACGAGACTTCAAGGATTCACTTTTGCACTGTACTTGGACATTGTTTAGTAATGTGTAAAGTATGACACAATTTAATTTGTTTAGAATAGTTTTACAGGCTTATAATGAATGTGATATTTATTTAAGAGTATATTTATCTGTATTATTTGTGTCTATCGATTGTAAAATGCATATACTATTCTATCTTGAAGTTTTAAATCTTTGTTTAAAATGTCCACCATTTTGCAGGCATTGAGTGGTCCAACACTGAAATCTATCTCTGGTTCTGGACTTATACAACAACCGCATACTGTGGAAGATCTATTTCGGTTATGCACCCGACTTGTACAACACTGTGCAGCTGTTTTTCTCACTAGTAGCAGGATCAATTTGAATGAACTCTGCGATACCGCTGTCTCTTCTCTAAATCTATGTTGTGCCGGCCCTGGTTCTGGCTCATCTAGTGATGATACACCGGATCCAAACTCATCTAACAATGATGAATCAAGTTCATCGTCAGCTTCTACTAGCGCATCAGCTGCAGCTGCTCGATTTTTCATCGAACTTATCATTTTTACGAACGAGGCATGTGAGGAGACACCAATGCAGGTTGTACAGATTTTAGAGTCTGGTAGACATCTTCCTACTCCCTCTTGTCAGTCAGCTCTAGCTGCTCAAAATGTTATTGTGTGGTTAACTTACTCCAGGCCTACGCAGCCTACTGATCCTAGTAATATGAATAGTTGTTGCGGCGGACAACGGTTAGTTTCAGCATTATTGCAAGCATGTTGTCTTGGATTAATGGATGAAAGGTTTCCCGAGATGGCGGATATTTTATATCATCTTAAGGTCATGATTAATCAAGAAGTAAGTATCTATTTTTGGTAGAGCTTCTATGTGTTGTCTTATTCGATACATAGTATAGTTTTTTGCAAATTAAATCAGTACCTTAAAGTTCTTGTCATTTTGAACTCCTTGGCTTTCTTCAACGGATTTTTTTCTCTTTATTATGCGTGTTTACTACGGTGTCTTGAAGAATGAACTCTGCTTCAATATGACTACATTTGAACATCGTTAAGTCTACCTAACTATTCAATTTACCCATCCTCATCGAAGTTTGGTTTTGTTGGATTTGTTATTTTTGATCCCCACGTGCATACTAGATAATCACGAAAGCTAATGCTAACAGTATTGAAAAACGTAATTAAATAAAAACAAAAGAAAGGTAAATAATCGGCAAAGATCATGTATAATTGCTTAATTTTTCTATTGGGAAATGTCCCTGTTGAAGTTTAGTGAGTATTTTGAATTTATAGTTAACGGACTTATTTTAGCATCTTTCTTAGGTTTTGCTTGTTGAACGATGCATTTGGTTTTTATTTTGTCAAATCTTTCAAATTATGCGATCTTAACAAAAGACCAACGAGGAATAAGTCACTTCTAAAAAAGTTGATCACAATTCAGTATTTCCAATTCCAATGCTATATTTCCATATCCGTATTCCATATATAGATGTTTCTTAACTGGCTGAAGAACGCAGTAGCCAATTTGTCAACTATGCGTACTGATGGTTTAGTCCAAGCTACACAAGACCAAATTACCGATTTTCAAGATGTTGTTATGAAGTGAGTCTGCTTGTGTGAACAATTTTCAATCCTAGTTACACAATTTTGGTTTTTTTCTACTCATTGTTGTCTATGTTCATACATATAATAACGGTTTGCGTAATACTTCTTATCAAAATAAAATTAATATATCCTTATATTATCTCGTATAAAATGCACTATATTAGCTAATTTTACATCAGTATGTATCGTAATTGTCCGTGTATGTAAAAATTGCAAATGTTTTCCATTTCATTACTGTGCGAACTAACCTTTGAAATCTTATTAACTGCTTCTCACTTGTTTCGTATTTCTAAGGTACGCCATTCAATGACAGACACTGCCACAGAATCTCGCGGTCTACCGAGTCAAATGTTGCTTTTAAGTCAAGAAAGACCACCATTGTCGGACGCCGATAAGTATGCCTATGTTTTAGAACCAGATGAATGGTGACTATGTGGTCGATGAGACCACGACCAGATCTGAAGCCAACCTGATTTTCTCGTGTTTGCAGTTCACGAGTATTAGGCGTCCGATCATTATGGAGGCTAGTATTTTAGATGCTATATTAGTTAAACTAACCCCTCTATGGTTGTCACAGGATGATGTTGACCCTCTCTTATATATTGGGACGATAAGTGACTGTGACCAGTCAGATGGAATAACGCCCAACTACCAGATTTTAGCTAAAATGTTAGTCAACCTAATTGCTAAAATTGGATCACCATCCGTAAAGACCTCTGAAGCTAATCCATCTGGACCAGCTGCCCTTCCTCGTTTCAGATTAACCATAGCCTCTTGAACTTCAGCTAGAGTTGGGGGACCTACTTCAATGTTCCATTCACATTGTTTGAGAATGGAGGGTAGTTGTAGAGTAGCTGAAGGCCAGCTGAACTGTTCTCTAAAATGTCCCGCCCACCGTTCTAAACGTCTGGACTGGGAGCAGATGAGAGTCGTTTTTTCCGAGATGTTCTCACTTACACTTGACTTATTAATTCCAGTTTCTTTTATTAGTCTGTAGAGCTATCTTGTGTTCCCTGTAGCCACCGCCTTTTCCATCTCTTTTGCTTTCGTTGCCCACCACTGCTCACGGTCGTTCCTTATACTTTTACTTAATCTAGATCTGATTTGTTTTCGCTCTTCATCGTGTTCAGAGTCTGATGGGATGAGTTCACGAGAATCCATCAGTGCAATAGACCTTGAAGAAATCCATTGGTTCTTTGTAACCATGTGGTTTAAATCACTAATAGATGTCACTGCTGTTTCCACAGCTGCTTGTATATCTTTCGAAGCAACATCTGAGTCAGCCTCGAATGTGACCGGGAGTCCGGAAACTGCGTCTGCCAAAACTTTGTGGACGTCAACCTTAACATATATGGCAGCTACAAGCACCTCCTCTTGTTTTGCATGCGAACCAATCAATCTTGAGAGGGCATCTACCTGTCCGAAATCCGTTGTCGGTTGATACTTTATCTTGAGATCATAGCCCAACAGTGTAGTTGCCCATCGCTGTAGACGGTTTGCTGTATATACAGGGATACCTTTTTTGGATCCAAAAACTATCAGTAGCGGTTTATGGTCTGTTAGTAAGGTGAACTGTCTGCCAAACAGCATCTTGTGGAACTTTTTTACAGCAAATATAATGGAAAGGGCTTCTTTCTCTATCTGACTGTAGTTCCTTTCAGTCATAGTCGGCTATCTTGCAGCGTGGGCGATCACCTTCTCGGACCCGACAGGGTAGGTATGTGAAATTATGCTCCGATTCCGTAGTGTTATAATCTCTTCTTACGGTTATGACCCAACTATTCCTATTGCTTAGTATTCTCGGACACCGATTCACTCGACAAGTCCCCAAATCAGAACACGGTTGAACAGGAAAGAGATTATATTCCAAATAACAAGGTTAGATGGAAGTAAGATGCCAGTAAGAAGCCAGTAGGAAGCACAATAGAGAAAACGTCAGTATATTTATAGTTTTTACATGAGAAGATTCTAGAGTATTCTCCAACTATCGACTAGTGTTGATTGGATAAGTATTAGCTAATCAGCGTGCACCAAAGCAATTATGCATTGAGCATGCATTAATCCAGTCTATGTTCCGCTAACACGTAGTTTGACGCATCTGCTGCGACTATATTTGGAAGATCTGGATCATAGTGTGTAGGTAGAATGTTTGATGATATGAGCTGCTTTAGTTTTAGGAATGCTTCTTGGCATTCGGTTGACCAGAACCATTTGGTATCCTTTTTCAATAAGCAATTAAGAGGAGCACGAAGGCGATGCAGATTTGGAAGTAAAACGCCATAATGACTAACCATTCCCAAGAAAGAGCGTAAAGTTGATACATTCGCCGGTGGAGGCATGGACTTGATAGAGTCGACGTTTTCAGGATCAGGTTTTCTTCCGTTTTTATCGATTATGAATCTCAAATAGCGGACTTGATCCATGTAAAAATCACACTTTCAGCACGTAATCTGAACCCATAATCTGCTATGCGTCTGAGAACCATGTCCACCTTATTCTCTAAATCAACATAGTCTGTACTCATGATCAGTATGTCATCGAGATAGGCTGCGTACCAGGAATATCTTGTAACATAGTATCCATAGCTTGTTGGAAGATTGAAGGGGTGGTCTTTACTCTAAATGGAAGTCTGTTATATCAGAACAACCGTTTATGAGTGTTTATTGTCAAGTAATGCTTACACTCTTCCGCTACTGGAATCTGTAGATAAGCTTCTGATAGGTCTAATTTTTCAAAATACTTACCCCCATTCAGTTTCGCAAATAAATCCTCTGGTACCGGCAAAGGGTATTGATGGGCTTCAAGTGCTTCGTTTAATCCAGTCGAATAATCTGCGCACAGCCGGATATTTCCATTTGGCTTTTCGACAATCACTATTGGTGCTGCCCAATCAGAAAAGTTTGCTGGTTCTATTATTCCACTTCTTTGCAGACGCTCTGATTCTTGTTCAACAATAGGAAGCGCTGCATAGGGTACCGGACGTTTTGGTCTGAAGACGGGGGTGACTCCCGGTTTAAGAATCAGTAGTACTTTTACCTTTTTGCACTCCCCCAGCTCTTCCGTAAACACTTGACTATGTCTTTCCAACACAACACCCTTCAGATCCTTTTCCACTGGTTTATTGGTTCTCATGGCGCTGCATGTGTGGTTAATGGAGTGATTTGCTAATTGTAGTGTTTCTATCAGGTCTAGACCCAGCAAACCTAGTCTTGGGTTCTCTGTGAGATATAAAGCTGCATCCGTCTTCGCGTTTCCATTTGAAACTGTACAACAAACCTCTCCAACAATATTTAATTTCCCTCCAGATGCACTATGAACTAACTGGGTGGTTGGGAGCACCTGTGGTTTTCCTATAAGATTCCAGGTTCTTCGACTAATAAGTGTGATGTCGGAAGCAGTGTCGAGCTGCAGGCTGGCGCGCTTTTTATTTATATCTAGGTTTACATACTTTCGTTGGCGGTAAATTTTTGCACGACTATGTGATACCAATATTTTGTTGGTTAGAGCAGTATATCTGTATTTCTTGAAGTATGGTCTCGAAGAATGTCGTTTATGGTTTCTTTTTCTGAAGCGGTTTTCTTTATGGCCCTTCCAATGACATTTGCTACAACAATGTTCTCTATATGGACAGAACCTCTTATAATGCCAACCTCCACATGACCAACATGGAGATGAGGGCTGATTGTCTGTGTGTGATAATTTTCTTGAGCAGGAATCTTTCTTTCCGCTTACAGCATGAAAGTATGGCAACTGGCCATTATTTTCGACCATGGAAGTGTCATGCTTTAAGTTTACCAATCTCTGGCACTCTGTGGTTACTTCCTGTAGTGTTATATTCGGACATTGTTCAATTTTACTTAGAATTCTGGTTCTAATATCAGCATCTTCTGGAGATTACAGGCTGCACACAAACACGAGACACTTAAACTGACCTTCTGTCATTGCTGATAGTTTGAAGCGCTCACATTCACGGTTTACTAACTCCGCATGCTTCACCCAGTCATCATCACCTGCTTTTGTTATCTTGAGACATTGATAACGAATATTAAACAAGGACGACTGTTCAGCAAAGATTTGCGACAAAATTTCAATCGTTATACAATAAACAGGGCACACAGGTTCACAAGTTATAACACAGCTGCTTGTATATCTTTCGAAGTAACATCTGGGTCCATCCCGTTTTCAGAACTACCTAAGTGTGACCTCAGTTGTTCCTAGAACCTACTTTTAGTTTACTCGTTACTCGGTTAAATTCTGATGGGTCTTTTTAGTGTAGCTTTTCTGGGTCCAGTGAGGCGCAAGCAGATGCGTGCCCGTATTAGAGCATAGTCGGAGTCCAGGAAGGTACTCCAGAATGAGCGACAATCTTCTATCAACCCTCTCCAACGATGACTGATGGCAATATGGTCTATTTGAGTTCATCGTTGGCTTGGTGCAGGGGGTCGTCGTGCTAGACGATGTCTCTCCTTATTATTAAAATTAGTGTTTGCTAAAAATACACGATTTTCTGAGCACAGTTTCAGCAGACGATCGCCATTATCTGTTCGCTGTGCCGGAATGCCGAAATACCAACCAAAATGACTTTCTGTTTGGCTTAAGCAACCTACTTGAGCATTAAATTCGCCTGCTACGAGTACTATGTCTGAACGTTTAGCTTTCTGTAAAATTCATCTTTCATTTCATCGCAGCTGCAGTCAGTAGGAGCGTAGGCAGAAACGACAAAAAGGCAATGATGTGTGTCTCTACCATTCCCAGTTGTTACGGAGCCGTTTAGCCTTTGTATAGTCAGCAATACGACTTCGCCTTTGGTTTGTTGCTTTTAGTCTTACCGCTCTTCAACTGACCTGTCTGGCATGGTAAGTCCTTGAGGAACGGTCGTTCCAGCCAGTATAGCTTTGTTGCTTCATCACGATGCGCAAGTTCGACCACCACTTCGCGTGCTGGAGACCGATATCAAGATGCGGACAATACTTTTAAACAACTAAAAAAGAGGCCTAGTAGACACGTGGAGATCCCCGGTTGGTGGCCATTGCCACAAAAGGAGTAACAGGCTATAGTAATTAGGCGTAGACATGTGAAACAAGGGAAAGTAAATTAACTAGACGCCAGTGTCTAAAGGGTCAGCTATCCAATTAATCGAAAGCAGAGTTCATTTTTCAACCAGGTTGGTTGGTACGGAAGATCCACTCGGCGGAGATGGAAAACCCTGATTCTAAACCGCTTGTGGCCTTCCAAGAAAACCTCCTCTTTCGATCTGGCCACTCGGGCAGTATCACAGCCCACACACAAATAAAATGAAATGACGATAATTACTGAAAATACTACTCTCGCCTCAATTAAAATTTAGACAGTTCACATTCATTTTTATTTTTTATATACTACGACACTTATCAACTCTCTTTTATTCCCACTTTATGAATCGCGATTTTTCAACTCATACAACAACTCGCCTATGGTGGAAACTCTGTTCTATCTAAACGATCTCGAGTCACTGACTGGCCGAAAGTTGAATCCTACCACCGACTACGAATACTGACCCAATCTTTCTTAAATCGAATAAATACCATTCAAAATGGCTTTTTTCAACGTTCGCACACTAATGCGAATCGGAAAACAGATAGGGTTGACTGTGTCTTTAGAAAGTCTCAACATTTATGTCTGTTGTCTATCCAAGACTAGTATTCAACACTAGTGAAGTACTGCGAATTAGCTCTCCATCTGTCGCTTCGAAAAGCTTGTGTTTACGTGCGTTTATCCGGGGACCCTGTGGCATCTCTGTCTGGTTACGCGGACGTTGGTGTCGCACTAAGCACTAGAGCTGAGACAGAACTAATACATTGGATCCCCATTAAAAGTCAGTTATGTGCTGTTAGATTAGAAAGCTCCATTAAAGTAAGAAAAATTCGGTGTAAGAAAAGATGTTTTTCCTTAGTCTATGCCTATCCCACGACAGATTACAACCGGAGTGAACTTTACCACTAGTTAAATGATCTCCGGAAAGCTCCTTAGACAGATATTGTAGTGCTAGACGGAGACTTGAGTGCGAAAGTCTGGCGTCTAGACACAAAAGAGAGTCGTTTAGGTGCCCGATGGGGACTTGTTGGTCACAGGTTAGATAACAGGGACCGTCGACTGCAACTCTGCGCAGATCACAACCTGTTTCTGGCTGACACTAACTACCGGCACAGTCATCGTCGATGTGCCATATGGCGCCCTCGCTCTGCATCTCAAGCCTGGACTCTGGTCACATCACGATCGCCTTCCTTTGGTGTGTCTCTGGCCAACAAATCGATTGTCCTAAACGAATCGATGTCAGCAAATTGGTTACAACTTTTGTTGCAACTAAATATCAAACCGAGCTAGGTTCAAGGCTAGCTAACATCCCACCGGAAAGTATAAATGAGCATTAGTTGCAATTGCACGACGCCATGAAAATTGAGAGTAAAGTCACTAGCGGCTTTGTGAAACGTCCAGTTATTGACCTATTTCATGTACGCCCAGAAAGATTTGGTTTTCTTTTGTAATCTCCAGTATTGATTACGATGAAGAGAATTTATTATAAAGAAGATTGTTAGTCCATGTATTAGTGTTTTATTCTGTAAAATATTGTCATCCGTGATAATAAGATTCAGATACTCAGAGGTTAATGAATATTAACAGATAGTTAGGTAGTATCTCGTAGACTGATAAGATGCGATTCTGATTATGGAAAAAAAAACATCGTTTATTTAAAACAAATTTGCGCTTGACAACTAAAACTTTTCAACAAATATATTTAAATTAGTTGGTTTAAATAACAAATCCAACTGCATTCTTTCAACTCCCTCCATATAATTGATTGGATATTATATATATAATATTTAATGCGCTGCTGAAAGCCGTTGTTGTATACTTTAATTTGTTCCTAGACTTGAATTCTTGCATATCGATATTAGCATTATACATGACCACTTTTATAATCTCATTTCTTATTCTTTTTCAGTTCATCTCGAAGTTCAACGATCGTACATGCGCTTGACTCATTTTCAAGATTGTTCCGATGAATTATGCTCCCTGTATACAATTTTCAGTGTGTAAAAAGTATTCATCTCTCACTTTGCACTATTTCAAAACAAGCTTCTACCTTTATTCTAGATATCTTTGTTATTATGAGCAATTTTAACCAATGTGTTTCAAAACCTTATATACAGCCACATTTCGAGAATTTTTCCAATCTCCTTGAACTTACTCTTTTTATCCTTGTCTATATGCAGAATCCAGTCAATTTGGTTATAGTAAATGAGTTATTTAAAATCAAAGAGAACATTTTAACCCGGATATTCAGCTTTATAGCCATTACTACTGACTTAGATTTCACAGATTATCGAACCTTATGAACGGTTTAATAATTTTCCATAGCATGGCGATATTGGGAGTAAATAATAATGTTTGTTTCACCAGGCTTTACAAATCGGTCTTTGAAACTAAAATATAGTGAAGGAGAAATCTTAACGATATCTGATCAATTGATATACATGTTTAGAAGCACATCATGTCCTACTCATAATATTGAGGCTTTATTTTTGTGGACGTAAGTTTACCAGTGCCAAGCCTTTAACTCAAAACAGTTTGTCTTCAGGAATGTGAATGTTTCATTAGGGTAACATATTGCAATTAATCATTCAGTTTTTACTATTACGAATAGAATTTTGTTCGAGCCGCTCTTTAATCGTCATTGACTCTTCCTTGACAAGAAGTACTGGATTCTTTTTGGAGTACATACTACAATCAATGCTATCAACGTATTTATTCGAAATGTTTCTCTTAGGTTAAGGTTGCCCAACAAAATATTATGTGGTGCTATAAAAAAACCTAGTAGTTTTGGATAAACTTCTATTACTCAGTATGTAAACGACACAATAACAGTATCCACTACAGTAGATTTGTATTCTCCAACAAGCTGTTAACAACTGAGAAAACAAAACACTCGGAACAATAAATGACACGTCATTAAATGTGATAGGAACTTCAAGGGTATTAAGACGTCAAGTCCAACATTATACATGGTTTAAAAAATTTAAAACAACACATATAAGCGAACAATTGTTTTCAATTAGATCGTCATCAGGCTTTACTCTAATATGCATGAATATTTATACGAAAATGTAAACCAATCAAGGCAATATGAGTCAATAATCACAATGAAATAGAATAAGTCTCTACACATAATAGGTAAAAGTACAAGTTGATAGTAGGAAGACAGTTGAACTGATAATAGTAAGAATAATAAAATACGATAACAAAAGTCTTATCAATAGTTAGACGTTAGGATTAGGTCAAACATGGGTAAATAGACTAGGAATAGTCATCATAAAACATTAAAATCATTACGAAATAAGATGTATGTAAATAATTAGATAGTAAAGAATACAAAGAGGCGGAAAATTAAAAAAAATAATGGATCCGGAAATAAGGTTAATGATAACAAAATAGAATAAATAGTAATCCCGTGGTGTGCGGGATCGTGGATGCTCACTGCTGAGGAGTCCCATACTAGGACGAAACGGCCGTCCAGGTTTTCCATGGTGGTCTAGCTTCAACTGACTCATGATTTCAATCTCTGAAAATCTCCACAAACCCCTTCTGATAGTAATTATTAAAAAAATCGTGAGTTAAGTTATAACTGGCCATGGAAGGGATAGTGGGGTTACGTATTTCTTCTGTACACATAAATTGGGGTTATATGTACGAATTCCAATGGCTTCACCTATATGTAGGAGGCGGTAATGAACTCCGTTAGGGAATGATGGAGGTATACGATACATAACACGAAATGACTTCGATTTATCTACAACATGATCGCTAATAATAAGATGTGCCAAGATAGGACTGCGAATAGATTTTATCTGGCCCTTTAAGTACCAAGTTGGTAGATGTTCACTCATTCGTTGGTTAAGTTGCCTGGTAGTACGCCCTACTTAGCTATCTCCACAGGAGCAGCTGAATTTGTAAATGCATATGGAAGAGGCCAACTCAGGTAACTTATCCTTCGTTTGAGTAGACATCGCTGGTCGACAAGAGAAGATTGGCTGCGTAGAATGTCCTGGTGATTATTTTAGTTAACCTATATTTCAGAGTGTAACTAGCCACATCCCCGTTGAATTGCACTTTCCTGTATAAACGTTTCTTACGAACAGTCGAAATCTCCGACTTCTTTATTATGTAATACATGTACTTAATGAAAGCATTGGGGTAGCCGATCTCGGTCAGTGAGTTGTTGATAAACTCAAGCTCCTGACTTAGAGTTTCTACTGTACGATCTAATTGAAAACAATTGCTCGCTTATATGTATTGTTCTCATTTTCACAATGGGAATCTTTAATATTCTAAAAAAAGCAGCGACTTAAAAATACATTTTGACTATTGTAGTTGGATCGACAGCTATTACATTATCTGCATGAAACAGCGCGTTAATTTTATTCTGACATTTAATCCCCCTTTCACATATTCAGCCATCATCAACACAACCTAGTACAGCATAATGTACTTAATACGAAAAGCAGGAAAAACGAGTATAATTCAGTATCTTTGAGAACAAAATGAAGCAGTAAGCATAGCGTTATCTTTAACGATAATTTCAACAATTTCTAAGATCTTTGTGTACCTAAAAATTAACTTGGGTGACTGATATTTCAACATGCATAACGCTACATCACAACTTTACCAATAATTTCACAATTTGTGAAGTGTCCCACGATATTGTGATGATTATGATCAGGGTTTTTTTACTCTAAGTAGAGAACGTTGGATATTTGAAAGTCATTTTACTAATACTCTGCTCGTGGTTATATGCGTTATTATCGATCGTTAGTTTTGAACACTAAGGAAGAATGAATGAGAACTACTTCACATATAATAATTAGCTTACTGCACATTTGCGAACAGTTAATTGTCTCTAATAAACATATCTCTCGTTATATCCCAATGAGTAAAAAACTGTGTTCCTGACGTTTTATGACTTAATGTTAGCCGTTCTTTCAGAGTGAATAATCGGGATGCGACAAAAAGTATAAAAATACAATTGTATGAACGAAGAATATTCTCAGTAATTCCTCATCAGGCTCTACAATTATAAATTCAAATTAATAATCCATAAAATTGGCCAGATTTAAGGCAGAGTACATCATTTGGAAGTTGTAATATGTGGATTGAGAATTGTTGTTTGTTATATGAAATCAATTCAGATCGTTAATGTTGAAGCTGTTTAATATAAAGTGTTAACTTGAATCAGTTTATAAGCGAAATGAAATTGTGCGATAAATGATCAGAATAAATATAGTCAACATGGGGTTAGAGAGAAAATAATGGAATAAAAATGGGAGGTTACGTAATATGTAGAATAATATGAATTAGTTCACAGCAGATCTAGAGGTGGATATTGAATAAATTCTTCAAAAGGTGTAAAGATAATAACAATAGCAATAATAGGTTCGGGACAATAAATGAACATTAATCAGATTACGTCACCATATTATAGTTGGCCAGGGTAAAAGGAGTGGCTGAACATACTTCTTTTGGATGAAAAGCTCTGGTTCTTTGAACTGAATAACAATTGATTCAGCCGTCTGTAGGAATCGCAGTCGGACGGAGTCAGGAAGACTGCTGTTAGCACGATTGATTATTGCTAAAGATTGCTCCATGTTGGCTGTATGTCCTGCTTGAACTAGATGGTCTAAGATGGAGCTGTTAACAGTTTTGACTACACCTCTGCCTAACCACACGGGGAGGTGCTCACGAGCCCGAATGTGCAAACTCCTAGAACATCTGCCAATATAACTTGCTCCACAGGAGCAGTTGAATTGATAGGAGGTGGCTAGTCTAGGTAATTTATCTTTCAATCTCGGAGTGATTATTGGTTGTGTGGAGAACATTAGTTGTAGTTTACCCGCATTAAAAGTCCTTTAAATTGAACTGCTTAACTTAAGTCTTAGCATTTCACTTGGTGCATCGCCTCTGAATTGTAAGCGTATATACAGAGGCTTTCTATTATTCACAGTCGGGCACTCTCTATGTTGTCTTCTATTGGCTATGTTTTTATTTATAGATTTCTCGGGATATCCATTTTCCTTCAGGGTTATGTATAATGACTTTGTACATTGACCCGTCCAGGTAATCTTCATGTTTATGTTTCTTTTTAGCGACCCGTCCTTCCTCCTTGTAATTAGAACATCTAGAAAGGCTATTCTACCCCCCATTTTCTTTCTCCTATGTGTATTTTATGGACGAGTGAACTGTCTTGAAACTCTCGAGTGTTTCCAGGAAGTCCGCCTGGTTGTTGCAAATGATAAATTTATCATCCGTATATCGGCAGTAGGATGAAAACTTATCGATCTCTTCTGTTAGTGGGTCGTTTTCCAATTAAGAGAGGAAAATATCTGCCAATACGGGACCCAGGGGTGAACCCATCGCGACACCATATATTTGTCTGAAGATTTCACCATTGGATTTGAAATGTACATTCATAGTACATTTTAGTAATAATTCTTTGATGATCTCCACAGGGATTGTTGTTTCCAGTTCCTGTTCTCTAAGTTGTTCACAAATATATTCTACAGTTTCTCTGAGTGGGACATTTGTGAACAATGATGCTACGTCAAAGGACATCATCGTTTGATCTTTCGTGTTTATGTTTTTAATCTTGTCAACGAATTGTAATACATCTTTAATACTATGTTTCAGCAGGCGTTTATGGATTGGTTTCAAAACGGTTACTGACCACTTTGCTGGAATATGATATGGAGAATCGTACATGTCTAAAATTGACTTAATGGAATATTTGGTTTATGTATCTTCGGCAGCCCGTATAACCTAGGTAAATGCGTACCTATCGGCTTAATTATTTCGTACATGTCTGTTGGAATCATCTGTTGATCTCTCAGCTTTTTTAAAGATCTGGTCAGTTCATTCTCTATCTTATTATTGACATCTTTTTGGCTATTCAGTTTCTGAAACTTTCGAGGATCATACAGGATGTTATTCATCTTCTTTCTTAAGACAGTTCCTGTTTGTTTATCGTGCTTTGTGATAATCAGATTCTCGTCACTAATAAGTTAATTTATGGTCTCCCTGTTTCTTAGAATACTTCTGTAGTTATATCTACTATTCTTAAACTGATAGCAGCAGTCAACTAGGTTTGATTTGAAACGTACAAGTTCCTGATCACAGTTCGGGACTAGGTCTGATGTCTGACGATTTAGGTTTTCAAATTGGATGTCTGTTTCGATTTGATTTACACGGTTTCGTGTATTACAGAATTTTAGACCAAGTGCTAATACTTCAAGTTTTTTATTTAATTCAGTACCGGAAAAAATATGCACATACCTTTTTGGTTCAGTCGGAAATTTATTTTCAACTGGTTGATTTTCTAGGCTTTTGAGAAGTTGGATGTTTCTTGTTTGAACATTCCTTATTTATTTTTGTGACGCACTCCATAAACTGGGACTTAAGGACTTCTGTTAATTCATCAACTGCAAATCGTCTGCGGGCGATACTTACTTCTATATCTATCAAGTCATAATTCAATGTGTCAATTTTATTAAGTGCATAGCGTTTTAATGTTTTTCTATTTGGATGAACGTGATTACGGCGTAATGACTTATAGAACAGTTTCGGATAATGAGATGATTCGATAGTTTTTTTATAAATACCAATAATGTTATCGTTTCTGTGAACTTTGCGTTATACTTCCGGAACTTATTGAGTGCCTTCAACGCAATGGGTTGATCACAAGATTTTAATCGCTGAAAAATTCCCATTATATTAAAACACAATTGTATGAACGAAGAATATTCTTCTCAGTAATTCCTCATCAGGCTCTACAATTATAAATTCAAATTAATAATCCATAAAATTGGCCAGATTTAAGGCAGAGTACATCATTTGGAAGTTGTAATATGTGGATTGAGAATTGTTGTTTGTTATATGAAATCAATTCAGATTGTTAATGTTGAGGCTGTTTAATATAAAGTGTTAACTTGAATCAGTTTATAAGCGAAATGAAATTGTGCGATAAATGATGTACTCTGTCTTAAATCTGGCCAATTTTATGGATTATTAATTTGAATTCATAATTGTAGAACTTGATGAGGAATTACTGAGAAGAATATTCTTCGTTCATACAATTGTTTTAATGTAATGGGAATTTTTCAGCGAACAAAAAGTATATTTATTATTAGCTTTCTGCCTAATGCTCAATTTATTTGGAACTATCAGTTGTTGTTTTCTTCATTTCAGTTTTTATACCATCCAAATGGATTCAATTCAGTTGGCTTGAACGGGAAAAACGGTCGAACCAATTCTACAATTTCTCTATATACCTGAATCAAGTCAAGTAGTTGAATCACATTCACGAGTCGTTATGTTGATCAACATAGGATAAACATCCGTAGGATATTTTACGAAACAGTCTTCAGGGTGGGTTATATGACTTTTTCCAAATATCGTTGTGCGGTAGATGCATGATATCCTCGAGCTCTTATATCAAAGAGCCGTTTCTTATTTACACATGGTTCCGGTTTAGAAGCAATTTGTCTCACTACAAATATTACTAGTGTATTTCTAAGGTTCACCATCCAGGTAATATAAATCCTGGAACAAGAAAGGTTTGATAAATTTTTAGAGATGAGCTGCTGAGTGAAATAAAAAATGGGATTCGTCCAAGAAAGCGTACGAAATCGAATATTCGCCAGTTGCGACTTCAAAACAAGGGAGTATTCGAGTAGGTTAAATGATGGCTGCAAAATCATGTTGCCAGATCATTGAAGCATGTTACGGGATTATTTATTTGAACACAAATATTGGTACAAAAAGGTAGCGAATATATATGTGCCATAAGTCCCTTAATTTGTGTGTGGGCTGTGATACTGTCCGGGTGCCTAAGACGAAACAGGTGTTTTTTTTATTACTCATGGCAAATCAGTATGATACAAAGATACATTATTTACAGTCTTGTATTTCTCACTGCATCTAACCTCATCAGTCTTTTCCCGTTGTACAAGTAATATATAGCAGTTCGTTTCGCAGTCATAACATTAGAACTAGTAACAGTAACAGAATTTTGTTAGGTTATTATATATCGTAAGAGGCATCCTTTTTTGCTACAGTTCGTTTAATTAGATCAGAAATTAATTTGTAAGAGCATTATCTTGGAACATTTTATCGACATTTTAAAAAATCTGGAAATGTTCATAACCCAACATTGGATATAAACACACTGGTCAATCAACTTCAAACTTTGAGCAAACTAAACGTTTGAATATCCACCAACTACGAAGAAATTACAACTTCTCAATTATTAAAGTACATTATATTCCCTCATAAGAATTTTCGACTACGTCGAGAGCTTTTTGTTGCGTGATAAGTCTTCCAGAACATTGATATTCCCATGTTACGGCAACACACTTATTACCACCCATGATGATAGCCAGAGAAATTAGATGCTTCGTAATTGTTTGTCGTAGTGTGAATGTGTTTCTTGTTTAGTTTCTTCTGAATCTTTTCTTAATCTACTTTTAGCTTCTAGGCTTCTTAATTTTATTCGTTTTTGTACTTTACTTTTAAAATTTTGGTCTTTGTAATAAAATATAGACAGCTATTGTCAGTTACTTTGATTTGATGCGTGACAAATGAAACAGGAACGTTAGTGCGGCGCTCAGGAGTTTTCTTTAACCACCTAACCAAACTTGTTGTATGAAACGCGTTTTCGATATTCAGATAAAATATCTTTAGATAGATGTAAAAAATAAGTTTACACTTCAGACGAATTACCAGATCACATCAGTTGAATAGCCAATCTAAATCACTTCTTTTAAAATCTTCAGACGCATATATTGCTAACTGTGAAGAACACAAATAGAGAAATATTACTACTTAAATGAACATAGATTCTAATAACTCGCGACAGAAAAATTAGACGTAATGAAGCTCTTAACCTGCGAAAACTGCAAGCAACCAGTGAAACAATGCTATTAAACTTAAATCAATAGGTTGGAATATAAGCATTTGAAACAAACATTTATAATACACAACGTCACACTTCATTAAAATACCGCATTTCCAAGAAATTGATTATATGTATCATCTGCAAATCAGGGCAACAATTTATACTTGTTTACTAGTTGTAAGCATTTACACCTGGATAATTCGCTCAACATTGAGAAAATGTACTTGAGATGCAAATGTTCACTGGGCCAAATTTAAAATCTTTAGATGCGTCCGTATAAGATTAGTGAGATAAGTGATCATCAGCAAATCTTTATAGCTTGAATTGATTAATTGCTCCAAATGATCAGGGTCTAATTTGGGGATTGAGAAAATTAACTGTGCTATAGACCTTCCGATTTTGGGGTCGGCTGGACATTTGTTATCGATAACATTTTCAACGTAACGAATGACCTGATCCAACATAGTGAGCAGATGTTGTGAAAGTTGATACAGATAGACCATGTCATCTCCAAGCTAAAAGTTTCGAAAAAATCACAAAATTGTAATCCCGAAATGTCATCCTTAACTGTTTATGGATAATATGAATAGGCTTTTAAAAAGAACCGACATGAACAAGCAAGTGTAATTAAACTAACCTTTTACTCGTTTCATAAGAGAGAAAAGTGAATCAAGCACAGTCGAAACGTTTTAACGCTTATCACGTCGAATGTAAAAACACTCATATATCTACGTGTTATACAGAAATACAACTCCAGAGGCATGTATCATCAAACGAACTATAGATACTTTTCATATTTTTATTGACTAGAATCGATATTAATCAGTAGGCAATCAGTCAATCATACGCAATATAGGACCTTTATATGCATTGATTCACATTGCCATACCACAGCAAAGCGAGATGACATTATCAAGATAAATCCCAGAGAGCATGATTAATAACAGTATCAGCAGTAATCGGACGGCTCAGGTATGAGCGTGCAATTACCTGACACAACGCATATTCATACCACGTCAGTCGGTGAAGATTTACTACCTTATCGACCAATTTCCCACCTTTATCAAACACAGCGTCTAACCTCCTAATTGCTCACTTGACACTTCCAATATATTTTAGATACTGTGTTAGTCAAACCGACTCCTCGGTGGTTATCACAAGAGCTTTTTCCATATCTTACAAACTGGGACGAGCAGCGATTAACATTCGCCAGAATGGCTTATGTTCAGTCTCCAGTCAATCCAGTTGCTAAGATTAAACTACTATCCACAAAGATTTACAGGACTATTCCACCCATACCTGTTGCTTGTCTTTGCTTTAGGTTACTTGTAGCCTGGGCAGCATTACTAAGATTTAGAGGACTTACATCAATGGCTCATTTATGTTCTTTAAATAAAGTGGCTTAGTGAAAGCCGACTAAACTACTCCTCAAATTATTTTATTCATTGGTCTAATCTCCTGTAATTTAAGTAGATAACAATCTCTTCTTCCATTGAAATAGTTTCATTAACGGCCGGATTTTCGTACCCGTATTTTTGATAAATCTGAATAGTCTATTGTTCACCACTGCGGACTCCTACCTCATCTCTTTCTTTCAGTACTTAATACCTCACGATCATTGCGTCTTTAACAGTATTTTTAAGCTGCCTCTACTCTACGTCGCGTTCGGAACTTGGCGTGGAGTTTTGGGACATTATCAGTCTTGTGGATGCTACAGAAAGCCGCTGATGTTTCTTAACGTTTTTGGTTCAAGTTGCTGGTAGATCTTACAGCTGTTTCGGGGCTGACACAAAGGAATTTTCTTGTTGCGACTTTTCTTTGTCTAGTAAGATCCCGCAAACAAGTGCATGCATAAGAATAATCAGAGTTTAAACATGTGCCACAGAATGGGTGGTAGTCTTCCACGGGGCTCCTCCAACGATGACTAAAGAGACTGTGGTCTATTTGCGTTCTACGTCGAAGTCCATTGTGTGGGTGACCATGATGGACATCGTCTTTCTTTACATTTAAATTAGGTGTTTGCTAGAAATGAACGACTATCTGAATACATTTCCAGCACCTGGTCACCATGATCTGTTCGCTGAGCCAAAACTCCGTGAAACCCATTTAAATGCCTTACAGTTTGGGATTAAATTACTTACTTGGGCAGTAAAATCATATATTATTACGTCTAAAATGTTGGGATTTTTAAGAAAGATGAAAGGCTTTCTACAAAATCCATCAGTGAGAACGTAAGTAGAATCAACGAGGTGCGTACAACGTGTTTCAGTCTTCTCGAGTTCTTATTATCCTATCTCCTAAACAGTGTGTAGGGCTACTGGAAGTCGACCATCAGCAACTTAATCCCAGGTTTGAACCCCGTTGTACCTACTTTGGTTTGGACAACTGAGTGTCATCACATTAAACCGCAACACTGGTGGTGTGGCTCACATTGAAGTATCTGATTTTTTTTTTGCTGTTCCATTCAGTCAGACAGTTCACAAGCGACTGTCTATTGAGATTCAGTTCAGGTGAGCCTGTTTTACTTTGAACTTAGTGCTATGCTCAATTCAGCAAAGCCACAGAAAGTAACAATCACGTCCCAGGATACACTCTGGTTCTCCATTTTGATGAGGTGATGTCCAGTAAATGACCATACTTGGGTTCCACATCCGTGTTTTGAAAGCATAGCACAAATCGATAGCATGAGACTTAACAGTCCCTTCTAAGGAAGCCTGCTGTTCGGTTTGACGTTGAAAGCTATAACATACAGTTTAAAGGAAGTTTCCAAATCAAGAACAACATTTCGTAAACTTGAATTGTTAGTGTTAGTAGTGCAGATAGGAGAAAAATTAAAGTGACGAAGGGATTCGACCGATAAAAAGTTGGTCTCTGTTGTTGTTAAAGATATGAGAGTGGTTGTCACTTCCGGGTTGCCGAAAGCTAGTATAAAAAATCGTACTAAGACGAAATTTACCAGAACTATGTTATAAATCAGTGCGATACTTTTTGAATAATCTGATCACGTATTTGCTTCCCAAGACCTTTATAAATAAAAAGCAAGCATAACTAAGGAAAACGAAATGGATCACAGCATTGACTTGTAAATTACTACTATAACGACAGGTTAGAAATGAGCATAAACTGTCTCTGAGCACATTACGGAAGGATAAATCGTATGTCTGAAGCTACTATGAATTCTAGTATTCGCCCCCAGCCACTGTCACACAACACTACAAACGCTGACATGCTATCCAACCCGTGCCCCGTCTAATAAGATTATGTAATAAACAATTGTCCTACTCCATTGCTAAGCATTTAGTTGAAACGGGCCATAGGGTTTACATCAAATCAGTGTTTATAGTGTTATGTGAAAGTGGCCAGAGGGTAAAACTAAGGCTTACTGATTGTTCGAAATATATTGCGCCCACATATTACGTGTTTCTGATAAGCTCCATCATCTTATTGCGTTACATAAGTTGATTAGAACTTTCAAATAATAACTTGACTGAAAAATCAAACACAAGTGTATATTGCTTGCTGAATACCAGTGAAACAGTTGAAAGTCGAGTGTTAATATATGGGTTTTTAGGGTCTTAGTTCCACAGGTATGAAATATGACTATTCAAGACAAGTCTCACCCTACATACTGTTAGTATCGCATAAAAGAAAAGTAAAACCCAGACAATTAAGAATCCCATTGAACTTTAAAATACATCTCTTCAACTCAGCTCCATCTGTGATATCATTATTCTGTTGGACTACCACGAACAAATGTGATATGAACTAGTGAAATAATGTATTGATGTATACTGCTACTTTCGAACAACAGAAAGGTATAAGCCAGCAAAATTACATTAGTAGGTGCTAATCAAAAGGAAATGATTTTACGGGATGTTTATGGTTGAGAGTAAGATAATTAAGATACTTTCGGCATAGTGGATTTCAAGCAGTTGTTGGCAATCAATACCGTGTTGTGTGTAAACAACTCACTACAGTTGACCTGCTTAATTGGTGTTATGATTTCGTCTAATCCTCATAATATTTCCTCAATCTATCTGCACATTGACAGTAGTACACCTTGCTGTGGAAATTTACTCAATACGTCAAAGACTGGGATATTAATTAGTTAAATGCAAAGTCACAACTAGTACTTTGATATCCCATAATTCCGTTAGGTGTCGATTGGTGTCCACGGCACTTGACTCACCTACCAAGGTTGCCAGTTCAAACCCTACACGATATGCTTCGGTTTGGTGAAGAAAAAGTAGCATTAATGAGAGCATATGAGTTTATACGTTAAATTACTTTTTATCCGACTGATCTTAACGTTGCTTAGTCGACGGTCTCATCACACTTAATTATTATTTCGACGTTACTTGCAGATAAATATGACAAATCATATGTATCACAACCGAAAAGTAACGGCTAGGGTTTATACTTTTAAGATCAACAAGAACAACTTGTTCATTTTTATCAGATGAATTATTAAAGCCTGACCAATGCTTTGACAACAGTTTGAGGAATGCCAAATTTAACCAGAGGGAATGAATTAATTGAACCTGTTTACTAATCTGTATTTTTAGATATCTCCATAAGTTCTTGCCAACAGATTGCCTTGGAAATAGAATCTTGCAGTTTACTAACTTGTCCAACTCCTCAGCTGACTTTGAAAAGCGGAAGATTAGTGCAGTGGCAGACTTCGAATCGCGTTATAGGAAAGCAGTTTTATGGTGAACGTAATGACATCTAACCGATATTTGAGAAACTCTTAGTGGTACGTCAAGTATTTCTGGATTATCCAACAATCGTCTATCATATTAGAGACCTGCAGAAAAAGCTCTTTAGTCACAACCAACACATTTAGCAAGATTGGCACCCATCTGCTAACATACAAGTAGGCATTTTTAAATGCTAAAAAGCAACCGTAACTTTTCTGGAAGTGGGTTGTCAAGTGAAAGGGTATTTACAAGCTGTCAGAAAATGATATGTTCCGCCGTTCTACACCATGAAGATTGAGTCATCACAATGTGCTTCATATTTGAGTCTTACAAATCTAGTTAGTCAGAACCCTCTATAAATGAATGACAACGTTGCTAATGAACTGTGGTCCTAAATTTAGTTATCAAAATAATGTTGAAAATGAGGACCAACAAAAACATTATGACGTTAGAAATCTGTCTTGAATGCTAGACTAGTAAAAATTTCCGCGAAAAATATTAATAAACAGTTGGCAATTGAGGGTATAATCCAATTAATTATCAGCTTACTTCAGGTTCTAATTTACTCCTTGGATCAATAGAAGAAACCATCATTTCAACGGCACAACGTTCTGCACCGTAGCACTCGACTTCTACTTCTACTGGTACAAAAATAAATCCCTGTGTTCCTCCAGGAATACCCATCTTCCTGCAAAGATAAGCTTTTATGGCCATTTTTTCCCCGATAGTCATATTTGTGTCTACCATTAAAAAGATTGCATTTTTTGACTTCTGCATGTAAACATCTTGATGGATAAGTTTGAGGGTCTCCGGAATTTCATTCCCCGTTGCATACCAGCCAACAATGTTATGAGAGGGGTTCACCTAAATACTTAATTATCTAGCAGCGATCATTTACTTTGCGCTCGAGAACGGTCATGTTGTTTTTGAATTCTATGTCCATAGACACATCGACCGCAGATTCTTGATGTAGAACACTGTAGCAATGAGTAACTTCGATGATCCCTTTTCCCCAAGTTCCTGTGGTATTCATGAAAACAATGTCATCATACCAAGAAGAGTGCCAATAACCCTCTCCGATCCTTCCGCACGTCTTTCATATGCATCGACAATTGATGCTAACACAACAGGATGAACGTGGACCGCCGAACCTGACTCCATTCACGTTTAGCACGTTTCGTAATGTGCGCTCTAGCTGTAGGTTGGTGCTCAATCAACAATTCTGTCTCATCAGTTAGTCTTCTGTAATAATGATGGAAGGTTACTCCTCATGACTGTAGAGATCAAATCTAGCCTTGAACGTACCAGAAGAAGGTGATGGTATTATGTGTTCTGATCGACAATCCTAGTTCAGAAGGCTCAAATGGTTGTGAATGGAATAGAATAAGCTTTCGTTTATCCGGCTTCCGTGACTAGTAGCAGTGGATCATCAATACCTCCATGCAGGAGCCTGGGTATAATACCGATAAGAAGGGGAAAAGAAGTTGGCAAATCAAAGAAAGATATTATTCTTAGTCCCTAAGAATATGTCAAGTTTTCTCTTATAGGACTCCTGAGAAGTCACTTGGACTAGCTCGGCCGGCAGTGAATTACAAAATTTTACAACGCTTCAGAAGTAGTTGTGCCTACATTCCTTTCTGCTGTGTTGTGTTTTCATTTTCTGGTTCTTACCTCTAAGTTTTTTGGTGGGACTAAGCTAATGTAGGTATTTAAGGGGATGACAGAAGTATTTAGAATGGTGTAAGCCATTAGAAATTCACATCTAAGACGCCTGTACTCTAGTGGGTACATCTTCAGTGATTAAAGACTCTCTTCATAAGACTTGAGTTCGAGTCCTCAAACTCATTTCGTGGCTCACCGTTGGATACGTTCCAGAGTGAGGGGGAAAATACCATGTTCTGTACTCTAAATGGGGACGAATATAACTGTTGAACATTATGTGGATAGTTCAATCAAACGGCACTTTTGTAGCAGGGTTGCGACACTCCTAGATCCTTTTCAACTTGAGATACCTCTATTCGGGAGTTAGCTAAGTTGTAGTTGTAATCTGCAACATATCTCAGATGGACTACTTGACACTTTGAAGTCTTAAAGGTAGGAAAATATGTATATGGGACTATTTATATCAATGATGATCAAGAAAATGTCTCATACAAAATATTTTTGTAGATGTTTAGAATTCTTCGATTTTATATAGTGTTGAAGTACAGGCAAATGGATAGTGAATTGAGGGACAATATTGGCCCAGATCAATTTACAAACGAATGGCTAGTGTGTTTTTGACTCTATAGGATAGTTAGCATAGATTTATTTTGCAACTTGGTTGTTATTCGCATTTTTACCATTATTTCCCAGAATTTGTACGATTTTCATTGTTGCATGGGGCAAACGAAATGTCACTTAGCCCTAGCCATGTCACCCTGGAGTCAAGTCATCGAATATCTAAGTCCACCGATCTTCGTCACTGTCAACTATAGCCAACGCGCATCAATTAAGTATGCGCACGGACTGGCACGTGTAGCTGTGGTCGCACTCGCTCCCTTGTACCCACTCTAACTAATATATTTCTGTAATTACGTCACCCGTCTTGTACGATCATTAAAGCAGCCATAGTACCTGGATATGATGAAAGGGTAATCCATGTCGGGTACTAACCATGAGGTGTAACTTCGACGTTAGCTGATTGGTCACGCTACTCGCACCTAACTTCAGTATGCTTTCGAATCATTCGATACAGATCATCTGTGCTGGTGATCTTCATATGATCGTCAGTGTTTTGTTTACAGGGAACATGACCTTTAACCTTCTATTCCAGATTATCGCTCACAATTTTACTGCTGCACACATACGCTTTTTGTTCTCAATCATCCCCTTTTTCGAAAACAGAATTCTGTTGTATTTGCTGCATGTGTTTACTGATCGTATGGATATCCCCACCACGTGATTAGTAGGGATATACATCTCTGATTATAGTAAATATGGTTTGAATTACCAATTACTTGTGCAAGATCAAAAGAAACATGAACAGGCCTACTCCTGACAGTCTAAGTAGCGTCCAGCATATTTTTCTTTCGTGTTTGACTTATTTTTTGTATATTGACGCACTAACATTCCTTGTGATAACTTGGGCATCATTTTTGACATTAACATAATTTCGTTCAACACAACTCTTGCGAGACTTTGGTTGTCGGTGGTCTTAAAAATAAGTGAATAAACCTATAATGAATGTGAGATTGAGCTACCGGTTGTATATTCTCCACGAGTCGTTCTTGAGATTTATCATGGTCGATTTAATTTTGAATTCTTATTTGATTTGTTCACATGATGATAGAACATAGACTGCTATTGTAGATGCTTAACGATTCTGACTTTGATAAGTTCAGCATTTAAAATAAGGAGAATTAAAGGTTACATCGAATACATTGCGGTGATATCTCTTTACCGATGGGTAGATGGTTATTCTACTTCAGGTTTTTGAATAAAGGTTGACCGCTCTTTGAAACAAAAAACAGGACCTTCGAAGAAAAGGATGATTATGATCTCATGGCTTTGATATGCTGCGTTGTACATTACTTATAACATGTTCATATTAATTTGTACCAAATTCCAAATGCATAGTTTTTTAAATGGTCAGTGAAGCCGTTGCATTTCGTGATAAAAATCGTGTCGATGTTAGTCAGAGAATATTGTATATTTGAAAATATTGTTATGACATTCAACGATACTGAAATAATTTATTTTCCTGGTCAATGATTTACACTTTGAGTCTCAACTGAGTACAGTGAAATGGTTCAGGTTGATTAGGTGCTCTGTATACGATATCTGTCAGCGAAGTGAACACAACGACACGGTCGAACCTTGGTTGCTCCTTTTAAGTTCCGTTCTTTCAATCCCTACAACCGTAACTGATCCATAACCGTACAACGTCATTCTTTAGCTTCGGTTGTCAGATGGTGTTAATCTTACGTTTTCTTTATTGATGATTATTTTAGTTTCATTTTATATATTTACTGAGTCGTCAGCTTATGTTTCTCTTCCTCTTTTTCCCCCAGATAGTTTCACACATAGCTCCTAAAATGTTTTCAAAACAGCATATTTTCGGCCAAGACACAAACACATTAAGGGCTAAGTATAAGTAGGCGAAACTTTGTTGCTGGCGAAATTAGGGCAAATTTATGTCAGAAGCAAATCATATTTATCAATATTTTATTGTTATAGACTTTTTATCAGAGTGGGGGTTTGTTAGGATTGTAGTAGTCTGATATTTAAACTCATGAACCGATTTAAGCTAGACCGTTTAAACTTTTTAATTCGTTAGTGAAATTGTTCGTATATCTGGTTGTACAATATTTATTGGGTGTTCATTTTCAGGTGTTGTTTGCTAGTAAATAGATAGATCACGTACAGATCAGCTATTTATTTCATCTCGGCAGCCTGTATCAGACACTTAAGTCTTCTAAAATCTGATGAATCGTTCAACAAACCATTTCTTAGAAACTAACTGACAGTGTTACTGTGCAAATTTTGAATGGCTTGCACATAATGTGTCAACCTGTACCATACGTTTGTAACTTACTTAGTGTGCTAACCTCTTACTGAGTTCTCCTTGCTACATGTCACTTGAGTGGCTTTGTAGTGGCATTGGACCATAACCACACAATCCTCAGAGCTGAACACGAAACTACTCGGAAAATATATATTCAATATTTGACGCGGAGAAACACCTAACGATGGAGAGGGCGGGAACAATGAATTGAATTAGTTCGAGTTGATCTGATGGTATGGTTCGGTCATGTGGGCGTTGTCTCTGCTGAACGTTACCTTATATATTTTATTTATATTAAATATATTGTTCTTTCTCTAGCCTGAGCTTGTTCTCCATCATGTATTTGTAATTGTCACGATGCAGTCAGTTGGTGTAGACGATGATACGACTTCCACGTAAGATCTTATAGATTAGGCAGTTATATCATGACGAATCTACAATTTTAGGATTAGGTCTATTATTAGAGCAGTACTAATACCCATAGTAGACCATAGTTCTACAGCCTTACAAAATCCCATATTCAACCAGTACGGATGACTATCCAATGAAAGCTGAAAACTGGACTCTCCAAATATACATATCTGGCTAGTGTTTAAACTATATCTCCTTATCATCATTGTTAATGTCTTTAGTTTTTTCTTGATTTCAACAGCGTAATCTCGACGGGTTCGTATGAGTTAGTTGCTACGTGCCGTGGGAACGTCAAATATGCTAACCGGTAGTGGATGTTCGATATGAGTTAAAACTGTCGATAGTACAGCAAAGGATAAGAAGTGGCTAGACGTTAGTTAGATAAGGATGCAAAAGAAGCATGAGTACTGGGATGGTATACAGTAAGATTAGAGTAAGGTCAGTACCGTTGTTGCAGGCCTTAAGATTATTGGAGTTGCCAAATTTGCTTTTGAATCAAAGTGTGAAGCTACAATATCGTCGGTGATAATCTGGAACCAACTATTTTTGCGTGTAGACTAACTCAGAGCATCGTCAACCAAAATAACTGGTGTTTTCTGTTAGAAGGCAGGATTTTTTCCAACAATATAATATATCTAGGTTATTATTGTTCCGGGTATTTTTGGGGTGAAAATCTGATTAGCTATAAGTGGAAAAACATTCTTACTAGCAGATCGATATATTTGGGGTAAAAATGCGTAGTGTAAGTAGCTTTACCTCTACAAATTGACTAATGCACGATGTCTATTTCAATTTTGTGAGCCTTCAGCTTGGAGCATTATTTTGGTAGGATTGATTGTTATTCCACTGACTCTACATTTCTGCGTTCATTTCACCGATTTGTTTTAAAAAGTCGTCTAACTGTGCATGTAATAGCATCTCGATGAATTCACAAATCTTGAGGATGAGAGCGAACTCTACAACCTTACGCCGTGGAGTTGGAACGTTAAGACAACTAATTGTTGTCTGATAATGCCTACGTTTCGTTATTTTAGCATTTACACATTGTTTTTGGTTGGATAAGAAGGCAGGGTAGGAGTAACGCATGTTGATAGAATACTCTATTAAGTTCTTGTTGTTTTGCAACTGTTTTCACACCAAGTTTGTTCGTTTCGCTTATTTTGTTGTTCATTTTCTGTGTTATTTCCGAACATTGAAAATTTGGCATCCAGTAGAATCATGTTTGTGACTCGGTGGTATTCTGCG